TGTGCTATCAAAATATAAGGCTAGTCGAGCCGCTAAATCAGGGGTAATGTCGGCTCTTTCTTCGCAAACCCATTTTATTTGCTCCTTGGGAACTTTTAAGGCGGTAGCTAATTCTTGGGGACTGATATCACGAGGAATTAATAATCTTTCACGCAAAATTTCCCCTGGGTGAATGGGTGGTAATTTTTTCTTTTTTAGTTCTTTTTTCATATTATTAAGTTAGAGTTTTTTATATTTAAGTTTTAGCAGTTAGTTTATTATCGCCCAAGCAGTTTTTTATAACCACTTCCCCGATACCCCAATTAATCCTGGGGGCTTAATTTTCCCCTTTTCAAATTCACGCAAATTTCTTTATTTTTTTGTTCTAATAGTATTTTTTTTTCTTGGCTGCTTCGGCTATTTAGTGCTAATTTCTTACTTCTTAAATTGTTGATCGCTTTTTTTTATAGTTTATCACCAATTCTTTAATCTCTTTTGCTCTTTTTTCAACATTTATCGGCTTTTTTTGTTGGTTTTTTATTGTTTTTACGGGAGGCTTACTCTATCGTTATTATTTATTCATACTTATTTTTGTTAATTTTTTTTGTCTTAAACCCTGCTTTTTGGAATAAATTCCAAAATAAAAAAAAAGGTTTTTTTAATTCCCCAGAAGCATTTTGGGGAATAGCACTCTACGAGGTTATTTATTTTCTTTTTTTAAGTATGAATAATCAGTTCATAAATAATAACGGAGTAAACCTCCTTCATACGAGTAAAAACAAAAAAACCAAAGTTGAAAGCCAAATTGAGATGTTGAAACAGCAAGAGCAAGCGATTATTAATGAATTGAGTAGTTGAGAAACTAAACAAAAAAAAGCAGAACGATTAACCAATTATTTAGAGGAAGTAAATAAATTTAGCACTAATCATTTAGCCGAAATGGTGAAATTAGAAAAAAGCAAAGATGAATTAGATACTTACTGATTAGAATACTTAATCAAAGATAAAGTAGAATTTGTCTTAAAATTTGAAAGTGCTTCCAAGTCTTTTTATCAACTTGTTTTCCAAAAAATAGAAAGCCAAGTTAGTTATCTAAAAAGCCAACTTCGCACTATTCAAAGCCAACTTTCTCACCAAGAACGGATATTCGCTCGGATAGAAATTCGCCGTCAAGGTCGCGAACTTTTAACTTGCGAATATAAAAATCGCCTTGGTTGTTTAGGTGTTTATCAGTGCGATAATTGCCAAATTAACTACTCCGTAGTGGCTGACCATAACCAAAGCACAGAAATTATCAAATAATCATGGCAGTTATCGAATTAAAATTCTCTGGCACTTTTGCCAAAACTGATTATTTACAAGAATTTTCCTGTGTTGGTTGTCAGCATTACCTTACGGAGCAGGACATTTCCAAGGGCAATTATCGCCTTTATGTTAGCGATTACGCGAATGAAGTTAGCAAAGAGGAGTTTTTTTCCGCTCGTTTAGGGCGGAATTTAACCTCTTACGGTTTAAACTTCTGATTAAAAGCGGTTGAACACTTGGATTGTCCGGAG